AATTTTCTGTAAATGATGGAACTAAACTAAATCCAAGCCGAACTTGGCCAGAGAATTAACAACCCAATGATACAGAAGTGTCACACAGCAGAGTGTACTTTACAAAGAACACTTTTTACGTTGGGACTCCTCAACTCCCACACATTTTGCCAGCCATAAATTTAGAAAAGAAAAAGAAAGAAAGAAAGAAAGAAAGAAAAAGAAAGAAAGAAAGAAAGAAAGACACACAAAGAGACAAATTAAAAAAGCCGTAAGCTGGTAGCAACTTCCAACATCATTGTCTTTATCTTCTTGGAAGGGCTGGGACCTCCCTCGGCCCCGCCGTTGGACACCTCCTGGAACAAGGTGGCTCTAAATGAAGTATTCCTTCTTCTCCTCAGAGTTGTTCTGTCCCCCCTCGGCATTGATGATCGCAGTGTCGGCATCCGCTGCATCGTCAGCTCCTTTGGCTTCATGGGTGAAGTATGTACCTGCACCAAGGAGAGACGCCTCAGGGACCCTGCCATGCCAGGTGAAACCGAGGCTCAGAGGCTGGAGCTGGACTCCGGCTCGGCTCTCTGGGTCTGTTCCTCCTAGACCTGCTTCCCATCTTATTCCTCATGCAAGAGCTTTTGGCTCCTCTACAGACTTGGCTCCAAGATGAGACTGTGTAGGGCATTCCTGAAGTATGAACTATCTCTGGGGGGAGGGAAATCATTTTTAAAAGCTCTTAGCCCTATGAAGCTCCTGCACACATTTTAAGGAATATCTAATATGCAGGGCGACATCTGTTCATCCAATCAAAGTGAGACCTCCAAGCCAGCTGGTTTTGTAGCCTCCATGATCCTTGATTAGTTAAAAGGTCCCCAGAAAAATTGGACTGGCCCTATCAATGGACCAATGGCGTAGTTGCTTCAGGCATCTTTAGCTTGCTACAAATCCTGAGAGGGAGGACCTCCTACCACTTTTTGCTTCTGGCTACATGGACTTCTGTCCAGTCCTGGGAAGAGCTTTCTTGGATGGGCAGAAAAGTGGGGAAGAAGCTGAAAATATGACCCTCCCCCAAGCCCATAAAACAGGCAGGGAGAGGACAGGGGGTGCCCAAGATCCCCTCTGCCCTGATCCCACCTTTGTCCACAAGCGCTCCCCTTGCACTGACCTTTGTGTCTTGCAAAGTACCGCCCCAGAATGATCAGGAGACACAGCATCGCGAAGACCACCACAGCCACGACTCCTCCGATCACCGCATGGTCCACCGCCGTGATGGCGCTCTCTTCTCCTGCTCGAGAATCTGCCACAATTAGAAGGTGGTCAGGATGGTCCCTGGCAACCTCAATCACCCTTCCTCGCAGAGGCGTGACTTATTTCAGACCAGGGGCGTCCAACTTTGGCAACCTGAGGACTTGTGGACTTCAGCTCCCAGAGTTGGGAATTCCAGTCCACAAGACTCAAATTTTTGCCAAGGTTGGACGCCCATTTTAGACCAAGAGAGCCCCAAATGGGCCCCCGGGAAGTGGCACAGGCTGCTGGGCACTACTGGAACGCATCTGGGCGGTGGGAACTACGAAGTGCTAGCACAAGGGGAAGCAACTGGAAGCATGGACACATTGTTTGGGGCAGCCTTCCAATATAGGGAATCCATAACTTTTAGCTGCCGTCCTGCAAGAAAATAACCCCCCACCCTCAAACGAAGGCCAAATTTATCTGCAGCAGCAATAGGAAGACAGGATCTGCTACCTTCTCCCCTGTCCAAGGGGGTGGGTGGGTGGAACTGTGGGTGGGTCAACCCCGAGCCTCTCTCTGCCCCCCTCCCCATTCTGGGAGATTTCAAAACGCACCCAACCTCTTCTGAACTGAAGACAAAAAGCAATTATTGCCTATTGCTTTTATTTTATTTATTTAACATCTTCCCTTGCAATTAATTTGCTTTTACGAGCTGCTCGCTCTCTTCTACACCCCGCCCCCCCCCAATGCTTTCTGTCAGAAAAGGAACGACTCGCTCAGCTGGGGAGAAACTGCAGTGAACCCCGAGTGAGCGATGGCCACGTAAAATTAATGTATAGCAATGTAAACAATTTTAATTTAGGGACTCGGCTTCAGCAGCCCTCTGAGCAGCTCTAATGGCAACCGAGATTTATAAGGGAGCAAAAGACAATTATTCTCTGTTGATTAATACATTAACATTTTGGAAAGGAAGCTCAGCCACGGTCGCCGTTCCCCACCTCTTTTTTTATATTATTATTTTTTTGATCGAGTTTAACCGTGACACCTCCATTAAAATGATTTACTGGCCGTCCCTTACAATTTAAGCACAGCAGCAACCGAAATGGTAAAATTCTTTTAACTTTACATGATTTGTGAAGTCCGATGTGAAGGATTTGCCATTTAAATCTTTCACTACAAGAAGCGCCCGGCCAATAAAGCGCCCCCCTGCCCCCCCCCGGGTGCCATAGAGAAATGCATTTCGCCAGGAAGAGCCGGTTGTGCAAATTTCAGCCCATTTTTAAGAAAGATTGATCTCTCCCCTGAGTGGCTCCCCTCGCGGAGGCCTCCGCCTCTAATAATATTTGAAGTTTATCGATCAACTGTGCAGCTCCATGACAGCTCCAGGTAATGGGGCTTCTTGGAGAAGGAGAGAGGCCAGATACGAGGCTTTCAGGACCCCTTTTCCTAAATGCTAGGGGTACCTATCGTAGTTTAGACGTGGTACTAATTTGTGAGTTTCTCGATTCATTTATTGAGGACCGACTTTTAACGACATTTTCCTTCAAATTAAATTTTTTTATATCAAGGTTAATTCTCAGGAGGCCTCTGGGGCAATCTACGACGGGTCCGTTTGACAGAGGGACCTTATCCCTGAGCAAAATCCTGGTTCCCACCAGGGCAGAGAGGAGGAGACAGGTGAAGGCAGCGCCCACCCCCACCTGGAAGGTCCCAGAGGGAGCAAGGCTGACCCTGCCGTGGGTCAACCACCCACCTTCCACCCAGGGCAAGGGAAGAGAAGCCTTGTCTTGAGCAGGGCACCTAAGACGGTCAGCTCTGCAAGTCTCATTTTCACATGCCTTAATGAATGCTTGGCACGACTTTAGTCACATCTATGTCAATTGACACAACTCGCAATGGTCCTCTGTCCCAGAGTCCAGAGCGCTGCCTCCAGGGTGAGTAGAGGTGTGTCCAGACCAGCGTTTCTCAACCTGGAGAATTCTGAGAGTTGAAGTCCACCCAACTCAGAGTTGCAAAGGTTCAGAAAGATTGATTTTGGTTATCCTCCCACAACCCATAGTGGGAATGGCGTACGGCAGGTTCACTCTGCTCTCGTCTTGGTTCCAGTTCAATAAGCAACATCTAAAGTTGTGTCATGTCCATCCTCCTCACTTTGGTCAGGCATTCCCCCCCCAATTCTACCTGTGAGCTTTGGCTTAGGTGGGAGATAGGAGGACCTGCTGGGAGAGAGCAATTGGGTTCCCCTTGGCTGCTTTTTTTTGGGGGGGGGGAGACTCTGTGCTTTGCTGGGGGTTGCTGCCTCTTCTGAGTGCCCAGAGCCAAGTGGCAGTTGGTCCCAAAGGTGCTTTTTCCAAAAGGCAGCTGGACTTTCTTGTTTTTTCCCTTTCAAAACAGTTCAATTTATGTTAAGGGGGAACTTAAGGCTCCATTTGCAAACATCAGCTTCTCCCAATTCAGTTTCTTAACCCTCATTTGTGAGTGAGGGTTTATGGATGAGGACAGGCTTCAAGGCCTGTAACTGAGTTCCTCACCGAGACCCTGGCCAGCTTAAGGCCCCCGGGGCACATCCGAGGCTGGGAAACATCTATCTGGGTGGACCCCACCTCCAGGATTCACAGGCAGGCATGGCCAGGTTGGGGGGAGGGATTCTAGACTTCAATGGAAAATGCAAAGGGGATACTCAGAAGATTTATGGACAGTTTAAAAACCAATCATTGATGATCCAGTTGGATCAAAAATTAAAACAGGAATGAGCCTCCTTCTGGAAGTGTGTTTGTGTTTGGGTGTGTATACACGAGTGTACACACACACAAAGTTGAATTAGGCTATTTCATTTTATGTGTCACTTTTTGTTGGGGGTATTTTGAGTGTCAAAGAAGATTTATCTGCTGATCAACCTGGCAATTTGGCACTTGGAGTCTCCCCCTGGCTGTCCAGCTGCCTGTTGACATGTCTAACAAAGCACAAAATGGAAGCTGTTCCATCTTAAGAGGGGACCGTCCCCGACTGATGAAATCAAAATGCCTCCACTGAACAATTGGGGAAAATCCCAGAGTTTCCCGTGTGAAAACTATTATTTGACCTTAAAAATAATTGGCAGCTGAAAAGGGCTGTCCCAGTTAACCTCCTCTCTTAAGAGGAAGACAGAAGCAGAGAGACGCCAGTTCAGAGCTGAGCGGGGAGACTTTCACTGGCAAATTCTGAGAAAATGCCACATTTCTTGCTAATCCTAATGTGTTATTCTTTCTTCCTTAAGGTTTGCTTTTCTCAGCACCAATTCAATTACAGATGCTACAAATCCTTCTGACATTTAATTCCTTCTTGTCAGACAGAGCAGTAAACGTAGATCCATGCACGGCTTTTTCATTAAGATGTTAATATACACCTTAGCCTGCTAGCGTTTCTGTCCAGGTGCCTTCCAGGAGGAAGTATGGGAAAGTGGGGTAGACTGTGCCCAATGCTCTCTGCCCAGGGGCAAAATGGCAATCAGCAGAGGGAAGGGAACCCCATGTTCTGGAGGGGGGGCTACTCTGTGGGGCAGCAGTCTATGCCATTCACCAACCCCCAAATCATGCAACTTAAGCAACTACTGTGCAATGGGCAGAAAACAAATCTATCCTCAGCATCAGAGCCTTGATTTTGGGGGGCAAACCAGGAGGGCCCCAGAGAACCCCCACTGCAAGCTTCCTCCAAGACCTCTGACTTGGTAGATGGACCATCGGTGGTGATGATGCTGTCTGGTCCTGAGCTGCAGCTCAGAAGAGCCTTATCCAAAACTAGGAGATAGTCCTCAAAATTGGACAGCATCAACACAACCACTGCTTTGGGACTATGACAATTGTTCTCATATTTAACTGAGGATTGTTTAAAATCTTGGCTTGGCTTAATACACTAATTTTATCTTCTGTATTATTGGAATGTCTAGTGCAGAGAAAAAGCATATACGGAGAATTGTCTTCTGCCAATACGATTATGATTTCCATAGGAGAGAGTCTCTGTCACTCAAAGTTGAACTGTGGGGTCTTTGGTGCTCTCTGAGCATGGCTGTTTGCTTGCTGGTGTTTCTTTACCTAACTAGGGAACATCATCAGTGTGAAGGAGGGTGTGTGTGTAAAGAGTGCGAAGTGAAAACCCCCACACTCACTAGCATTGATGGTGATCCCTAGTTGGGTAATGAAATGTCTGCAAGCAAATAAGTAAGCTCAGAGGGCAGGCACCAACAATCCCACCATTGTGATCTGGCCTAATGAAAAGGTTAATTGACAACATTTTAATAGTAGGTTTTCCATTACAAATTGAAAGTTTTTTTAAGAGAATATTTGTTGTTTTTACACAGACACTCACAAACCCCACTGCATTTCAAAACCGGACATAATTGTAATGACCCAGGCACAAATTTGTACAATTTTAACTATACATTTCCAAACTTTGGAAGTTTAGCAATAATATAAACCATGAGTTATCTCATTTACACCCAGAATTTAAGCTGAGATCTCAGAAACATGTTAGCTCTTCTAAGATTTCAGCTTAGCCGTTCCATTTTCCTCACACTCTGCTCCCAAAATTTAGCCCACAAAATTCTGCAAATAAGGATGGGCGAGAGTGTGCTTAGAGCTGCCTTACAGAAGGCCCATTGCCAATGGTGAAATCATCTGAAAATATGTCAGCTTTAAGAAATCAACGTTGTTTATGCACAGCCGAATGACAGGTTGCAAAGAATCACCTTCTTGCTAGAGGAATGAGATGGAGGAACTATTATGTAAACCACTTGAGGAAAAAAGCAACTGCAGCTGAATGAATGCTGCTTTCCCCCTCTGCGACTGCTTTCTCCTGCCTGCCCAACTGCCCACACCTCCTTTGGCATCCCCCAATGCTCAAGACCGTTCTCCTTCTCAGCCCAAAGAAAATGGAGGACAGGATCTCCTTGCTTTATGATCACAGGAGACAAGAGAAGGTTCTCCTAATGAGAACTATTAAGAGCAGGCCGGGAGCACACTGGCATCTCTAGCATCGGCCGGGTCATTTTCTGAGCAGGGAGAGGAAGAACAAGGCTGCCCGCAAACTGCGTGCACAGAGCATTGAGGGCTTCCAACCATCTTTCCTCTCTCTTGCTCCCCATAAGCACTGGCTGCACTTAAGGAAGCCAGGATGTTTTATTGCTGTGATCTACCTCTTGTGCTCCGCAGGGTCTCATTTCCTCCTCCTAAGTTATGTAGACCCAGGTATTAAAGGGTTCTCTTTAGGGAACAGGAGGGGCAGCACCAGACCAACCAGCCTGAAGTTCCTCCCAACTGCATTTATGCTGTGAAAGCAAAGGGCTGACGGATGGTTACTGAGTGGGCTCAGCATGGCTGTTAATTGTGGCAAATTTAGATTTAAGGCTCCCTCTTACAGAAGTTTTAACAGCTCCTGTTGTAAAGGAAGGTTCCAAACTGCCATTCTATTGCACATGCGCCCCCTCCCCTCCGGCCTCTCTCCAGGCTGCAGGGCCATCCATCAGCATCAGAGCAAGGGCGCGGGTGCTCAGAGGATGGGGCAGCGGCCTCCTTCGCCCCTGCAGAATCACTTGGGATTTCCCACTACCTTCACCTCTGAACTGCAGTCACCACCACCGGAAATGCCCAAAGGTGATTTTCTCCTCCCCCCCCCCCAGCAAAATGTGCCTTGCATAATGGAAGCTGGTGGCAAATCAGGCTTTCCAGGAAAGGCTGCAGTTGAGACAGGGAGGACTCGCCACCTCAGAATCCGGAGAGAACGGAGGGGCCAAGGCACACCCCAACTGCAGCTCTGGCGTTTTTCCTTCCAGCGTGACCCAAACACAAACCGCTTCACCTTCACAGCACCAACTCCACCCCAACGAAAGAAGGGGCAGCCTTGCTTCAGGCAAGGCCAAATCTACATTCTTCACTTCCTCTAACGCAGGGGGCTTCAAACTTGGCCCTTTTATGACTTGTGGACTTCAACTCCCAGAAGTCCACAAGTCATAAAAGGGCCATGTTTGAAGACCCCTGCTCTAACAGCTGCAGATCTCTGATTCTACCTTGATGGCCCTCGGGAACCCCTGTGGGAATTGAGAGGGATGGCAACCACTCCCTTCCTGCAACAGATTAACGAAGCTGGTATCCAATCAAAATTTGCACCAGGGGTTCTCTGGGTTTCTTCAGCAGCCTGACAAAAAGAGACCTAATTCAATCCCTCCATCCCCCTGGAATTCAGAGATAGTCTTCCAGAGATCATCTAGATGGCTTGGAGAAGGAACCTCTGCAGATCAGGATGGCTGTGGAACTCTGGTCTCCAGAGGAAAGTCTTGCTTTCTCCTGTAGCTCAAAGCTTGATGGATGGCCCTCATTTATGGTGACATCTAAGGAATGCTTATTCCCATGATAACAATCCGGAAAGGGGATGCGGACCCTCGTGGCTCCCTGATACTATTCATTAGCCCAGTTTATCCCCTCACCTTCTCTAATTTAGTGATGGGCTATTTAAAGCCAGAGATTGTCTTGTAATATAATTGAATTTGGTCTCTAATTTAAGCGAGTAAATTCAAGGAGTTCATCCTTCCCCAATCAATATGTTCCCCTTCAGTGACCCATTTCAAGATAGCTTCATAAAAAATAATGTATTTTGTTTTAATAAATTAAATCACTATGACAGGTGCTCAATTTTTATTGGCTGCTTCTCCAGACATCTCTTTTCCAAAGCCATGCTTGCAATCAATAGTAATTGATTAATCAGCATCCCCTATGAACAAAGGTGCTAATCAGTTTTTGATTAGTTAATCAAACTACACAGGTCCCTTTTGATTGTGCCATGCTCTACAACCTGCAGAAAGGGAAGGAAGCTCTGGGGCTGCATAAACAGGAGCCTGCTTAGTCTCTACAGAAACTGGAAAAGAATGGAAGGATAACCATCTACAAGGCAGGAGAGATGGGAGGCCTTCTTAACCAGGATTTGCAGCTGCTGATTAGAAGATAAAGCACAAAGCAGAACAGGCTGCATTGGGAGGGGCTCCCGCCCTCTGCACTACAGACTCAGGGCAGCCTCCTGTGCAAAGCAAAGGGCAGGCATTAAGGTGGGAGGGGCGTTCTTCTCACCCGCCCCCTTTCCTGGCAGGCGGGCCATTTGCTGTAAAGGAATAAAGTCGGGGAGCAATTAATGTGCAGGCTGGTTGTGCAGGCAAGGAACACCGCTCTTCTGTTCCACTAATGGGACAGGCAGCCATGCCAAGCCCCCCCCCCCCAGCTCAGGCTCCCTCCCTCCCTCTTATGCCTTTGACAAAATAATCCACATTTCAAGGGAAAGGTCTTCCAATTAGGAATTAGAATCCCCCCCCCAGCAACAAAGCTCAGAGCACCACTCCCAATTTGTTAGGTAATGTTTCCCTGCCCCTTAAACCTTCTGGCCCCTGTGGCTGATGCCCCCATCTTGGGCAACTGAGGCTGCCCGGCTTCTGGCAACCGGGAAAAGGGAAAGGTCGGCTTGGGGTGGGTGGGGGGAAGACGGTTCCTCCGAGTCCAAAGGCCTGCGATGCAGAGGGTCACAACTGCGGGGTGCTGGGAGAAGCAGCCAAATGGAAACAAGGCGTTTAGCAGATGCAGACAGCCACACGGAGGCCAGCCCTTACCTGAGAGATCCCCATAGTCCAGCTCTTCGGCAGTATTGGGCAACTGAGTAAAGCCTTACAAATAAAAACAAACTCATTTTTCTCTGAGTTCCACAGGGCAAGAAAAACAAAACACTTAAGAACAGAGGAGGATGACGGTCCCCAAGAAGTAATTTGCCATCTGACTCGAGTCTGCCTGCCAAGGAGGCTTCTCGAACAATTTCTATCAGAGATATGCATGTGTGTGTGTGTGTACATATACATATATAAACACACATGCAGGCAGATCTCTTGCGTCTTTTAAATCTACAAGAAGACCAATACAGTGTCAGGGGAAAAAAATCTTGGTCTGCTCTATTTGAAAAGCACAAAACATAAGGGGGAACATTCAAAGCCACTCACCCATAAGTACATGCACAAGGTATTTCCCCAACTGGTTTACTGCAAAATTTCCCAAGATAAAGGGGAACCGCCCCATTTAGATGCTTAACAAATGTGGCATGTTTTTTTTCCAGGTTTCTGTATACATGTCAGTCTTGTGGCCAGGCTAGTAATAATATTCTCTTAGCAATATGGAGCTCTGGGATGAGTTGGTGTTTTTATGGGAAATGTTTTTGAAAAATCTCTGAGGGTCTGTTGCTTAGAAAGTCATCTCAAAGCTGATAAAAGTAGGTGTATGTTTGTTTGTTTTTTGGGGGGGGGATGTCAGAAATTTCCTTCAGCTTTCCTGAAACTACCTTGCTATGAAAACCTGAAGTGTGCATGTTTAGACAGGTGTCCCTTCGCTAGTTTTAAAATGGCTGTTTGATGGGGATGCGTTTCAGCTCAAGGTTATGGAAGGAAGAAGAGCACCGAGGCCTGTCAATCTCCCCTAAGACGATGTGTTTGTCTGGGGACAGAGTCAAGGCCAGGAGAAGAAAAATCCTGGGAGAAGAGAAGGTGGATGATGGAGTCAGTCACCTCCACCTTGGCCTCTCTTGCCTCAGAGAAAGAGGAACATTTTGAAGGCATGTTTTGAGTTGACAAATGACAGGCGACTCTTTTCTGTTTCCTTCCAGTTCCCACCTCTGCCATGTTCAGGTTGGTCCTAGGAGACCCTCCCCCCCCCCGAACTGAGGCTGGCTGGCAAAGGCAGCGCCATCTCTGCTGCACAATGTGGGCTGTCAGCTGGTTACTTCATTTTTTATTTGGGTGCTTTGCTGGCCATTCAAGTTACAGTTGCTGAATTGCAGAGTTAATTTCAACAAAGAGGCCTCCTCCTGGCCACTGAATGTGGTGGGAAGACTAAAGGAGGGCGGCTATCAATTCCACCACTGGTTTACCTGCCTCTGTAGCCTTGTTTACAGCCAAATGATCCTCCTTTGGAGCAAGCAAGGAGATCCTTGACTTCTTGTGGCTTTGTGCACTGTGGACAGCGTTCACATTCAGGAACTCCTGCTGACCTCAACATTGAACTGTCACCTTGGAGAGCAGCTTCATAGACGGACACTCTAAACTGTGATTGTGAAGCGCTCTAGGAGGGTAACCCCAAACTCTTAAGAAGATGCATCAGCCCCAACTGACAAGAGGCCCTCCATAACCATTTCCCTTACTGGTGAAATCAGGCCACCTTACAATTCTGGTGTTTGGAGAAAGATCTTTGTAACTTCAGCCTTCGGCACCACTGTGAAATGAGCAGACCTCCCTCCCTGTTGAAGACTATTGCTAGCCCTTACAACGCTGAAGCTCCTGGAAGAGCCGAGGAGCTCTTTGCTTAGCAGAACTTAGATAGCATCTCCAAGTTCCAACATCAGAAACTGGCAGACTCTTAATAAGGAGGTCAGTACAAAGAGAACAGGAGCACTGAAGACTCAAGTGCTTCTGCCTTCACAGGGGCTGTTTCACTGGCAAGAGCAGAGGCGCACTAAACATAGGGTACGTTTCAGTTCATCTGTAGGGGTTGGGCAAACCTGGCTCTTAGATGGTCCATTACAACCAGTAACCCCAGTGCTGTCCATCCTACTGGTTCTGGCTTCTAACTAGCTTCTGGCATGAGACTCAGTTTGGGTGAGCTAAGCATCAACAGCAACTAGACTTGATCAATTCCCTGCTTAAGAGGAGAAAGCTTTAAGATTAATGAACTATTTAAATCTACAGATTTGAAGCAAACTGACTTAAGGTCACATTATTTTCAGTTTGTTTTCACAGATTTTTTTTTCCTGAGCCATAAAAGGGGGCAAAGCTGCATCTTTTACAAAGCAAAGGAAATGAAATACTTAAACTTTTTTCGCATAAATGTCAACAAATATCTGGACAAATAGTCAAGAGGGATCTTAAAAATGTGTCACACAAATGGCTTTTTAAAAATTCACTTGACTATTTAAAATCTTTGTGCTTCGTTTTTATAAGAAAGCATTTGGATACCTTCTGGATAAGTGAAAACTAACTTTCCATTGCTGATGGTCCTTTCACCATATGGATTTAAAGAAGTGAAAATCAGCCCAACAGGGAGGGCAACCCTGGAGTACCTGGACTGAAATGAGAGAGTGGTTTTCCTTTTGCAGACCCATATTTGCCCAACATCATTCCTCTTGCTTCCAGAATTGATCTGAGAGCAGCAATCAATTTTCCTTCCTTTAAAAATTTAAAACAAAAATTAAGAAAATATTATCCTGAAATGTGCTTATGACATAAGTCTGCAGAGCTATTAAATAATGCAAATACAGTTATTCAAGTTTCCAGACAGGATATAAAACAGCTGGATAACATCTAAATAAAAAAGTGGCCTTGATGGGACACTGCCAGGAGACAAGCCATACGTTTGAACGTGAAGGTGCCCTGCTTAGCCTGAATAGAAATTAGCTTTGAATAGCTTTGATAGGAAAAATGCAAATTTTACGGGGCTGAAGGGTCTGATTGGCAGAAATCAAGTGATCACTGAAAAATGATAAATAGAAAATCACTTCTGAGATTTAAAACCAGGACTTTGGGGTAGCTTATAACTGTATAAGATGCAATGCAAATCAGCATAATGATCAATTAAAGAAGTAATCTATGTCTAGATTTAAACAGGTACTAAAAGTAGTGAATTAAATTTACTGCGTATGGTACCTCTGCTGCTACTTAATTCCTGAAAGCCAGCTGGAGAGCCAAATCTCCACCTGATTCCAGATGGCCAACAGGATGGGAGTCTGAAGTAGAGGAGCTGCTGTGCAGAAGACCGGCTGGGGGGCTCCCTCCTGCTCTACCACCTGGTTGGTGGGGGCTCCTAGCAGACATTCCTTCCCCAAGCCACACAGGGCTTTCTAGGTAGTGACTGGCACCTGGAATTGCACTCAAAAGCCTACTACAGTGAAGGTGTAACCTGACAAGTGTGACTGACCACTACGAAGCATCTTGGACTAGCTGAAGGGGTTTTTTTGATTGGGGGGGGGCGCCTTCAAGGACAGCCTCATGTAGAATAAGTTCCATCACCCTAATCTGGAGATCAGAAGGGCATCTCCTTTTTCAGGTAAGACCACAGTTGGTGAACCAGCTGAGGCTCTACCAAAGCTCCCCGCTACGTTCTCCACGTGCTCTTCAAACCAAGCCACGAAATCAGGAGGATTCCCAGATGGTAGACCTGCACAACCCATCAAGAGTCAAAAATGCTGCAGTCAGTCAGCCTCCGCATTGCAACAATAGCTCCCCCTTCTTTGGATTGAGTCATGCCCAGGCAAAGTGGGTGCTTGGCATTATGTATCTAAGCCACTGCAGAGCTGTAGCTCCACTTAATCTCCACCCCCAGGTGGCCCTAGACAGAATAAGGCAAAATGTCACCTTCATTTCTGAGTGAACATGCCCAAGGGAAGTGCAGGAAACCAGGCCTAAGCCATTGCCTTCTAAGCTGTTCTGGAAGTTCTTGTCTATAAACAAGGGCGATATATAACCACCTCAACCCAGAATTAATGATGCTTGTAAAAGGCCACTGTGGATTGTTTCAGTTTATACTCATGTCAATTTGCCAGCTTATGAACTTGACTAAGTCTGGATTCAGCCTTCGGTCTAGAGCAGTGTTTCTCAATCTTGATGACTTTAAAATGTGTGAAGTCTGCACATCTTAAAAGTCATCAAGGTTGAGAAACATAGCATCTTCCTTTCTGATTGGTGATGCTTGATCTTGCTGCAAAGTTTCTATCTAATCGTATTTGATTGGACAGACAGAGCATCTTTCATCTTTCCTCGCCCTCCCTTTTTTTAATATGGACTTTTTTAGAAGGATGGTCTGTGACGTTATTATGGCCTGTTGTATGCTGAATTTTAATGGGTTGGGTTCAAGACTGTTTTCTGCAAAAAAACCAATTTAGATATTTTTTTTTACACACGCGCAAACACAATTCACAGTATGAACTTCATTTCCCTGTCTTCTGCTCTTAGTTGGCTCCATCAGCTTGGAGAATGAGTGACATGGAGTTTCTTCACTCCCTTGTGGAGATGGGAGTTCTGTACATTTTTTTTTATATAACATGTGGTGACTGAGTGGGTGGGGGAAGGTGTGCTGGAACACTAAATTTTAATTGGCGTGGATTTATAGGCTCTGAAGCTTCTACAAGAGGTCAATTAAGAGAGGAGGAAGAAGCTGGGAGGCAGGATCTCCTAAAGGCCATAATTAATGGGCATAATTGAGGGAGAGGATCATATGGCCCACCAGCACCCCTAACAGGGTTTCTCCACTTTTATGGGGGGGGGGGCTGCACAGATGCCTGCCTGCCTGGGGTGGGGGAGACTACACCTGGCCTCGCCACAGGGAGCTCTGGAGAGCTCCGGGTCTATTTCCTCTCTTTGTCAACACTGTCATTGAAATGCAGATTGGGTTTTAAAAGGGCTCTCCAGTTCTCATGCAGGCACCGAGGGGGGGGGCTGAGGATAAAGGGCACATGAGCACCATGTGCAGAAAGAAGAAAAGCATTCCAGAGGGAGAAAGTGTCGCTGGACCTTTCTAGGAATACTAAGTATGTTCTGGGAAGCGGCTGGAAAAATAAGCCTTTCTCCTTGTTCAACTGATTTGGGGGAGTGAATTTATCCCAAAAGGCATCTGGAAGACAAGGGAGAGTTAAGCAGAGAGGAGAGTTCGGAAGGGCAGCCGAGTCTGGAGCACCAGCTGCCGGGAACATGCTTTGACCAGAGTCCTGGCAAGGGAGCCAGACGGGAAGGGGCAGAGACACATACAGAAATCTGGAAGCTTAAAATCCTTGGCATTAGGTAGAGGAAGAAGTGAAGCCTCCGTGCTTTAAACTTGCCATGCATTGCTGTGGGTCAGTCCTGTGTTGTGAGGGAGGGTCTGGGGGTGGGTGGGGTGCAATTCTGCATGCACTCCACAAACTCATTTCTTCTCTGGGACAAGTTCCCCAAAGAGGGAGGGAGGGAGGGAGGGAGGGGCAGGGCCAAGCAGCTTGCTCAGTTCCAGATACCCTGGACCAGGCACCTTCTGGGACTGGTATCGAATGGGGCCCACTTTGGGAGGAGCCCCCTGGTTCCAGTGGAGGGCCATGCCCGTCATGCATTTCTCCCCATCCACAGACATGCTGATGCTGATTTGGACACTGGTCAGAACAAAATGGCCATCACACACGAGAAACACCCGATCCACTTCAGACACACTCCGGCAATGCAAGCTTGGAAGGAGACGGCGAGGAGCTGCAGGGGGAAAGAGCCACCTTTCTAAAGAGGGTCTCAAGGAATCCCCCCCCCTTTTAAGGCAGAAAGTGCAGGATAAATACGTTTGCAAATTGGAGAGTGATGGAACCTTGGCCAATGAGACTCGAAAACAACTGACTGTACCTCAAAACAAAGGCAGCCTTTTCTGCTCCTTTTCCTTGGATCTGATGTTTGTTTTCTAGGGCAACAATTTACTTTTCAGGATAAAAGTCTCCCAAAGAGGCTTTCAAACAATGTAAATGACTGCAAACCAACGTATTATTTAAAGCCAAAAGAGAAGATTTCCAGGATCCGTGTCAAGGGGCAGTTGGTGTTCACGGTAAAAGTAAAGGAGTCCCTGTGGATTATACCCTGCTAGTCGTTGCCGACTTTAGGGGGTGACTGAGTCAGCGCTGTCCAAAGGCATTTCTGCAGTCATGTGCCAGCATGACATCACGGAGTGCCGTTACCTTCCCACTGAAGTGGTACATTTATTCACAATTTCATGCTTTCAAATTGCTAGGTTGGCAGAATCTAGGGCGAGGATGGGAGCTCATCCCAGGTCTCTAACCTGGGCTGCCGGCTTTCCAGCTGACAAGCCCAGCATCATGGATCCATCTATTTATTTATTAAATTTATATGCCTCCTATCTTACTATCCAGAATGATTCACAACACACACTGAAAATCTCAATACTGGGATTTTCAGATCAGTGCTTCTCTAACTTGTTTTGTTTTATTCTCTTCTTTAACTTTATCTAAAATATTTCTTTGCCATTGCTGAAAAAACAAAGTTGGAACATTCCTCTTTTGACGGTGGAAGCATAGAAATGGGCCCCAGATGTCTGGTTCCCAGGCTTCCCAACTAATCTGGACCTCCCTGTGGCTTACATTACGAGGCACCATCAAATGAGAGGCAATCACACTGCACTATTTGTGCTGCTGTACATAATGGCAACTCTTCAAGAAATAATGGCTTTCTCTGGAAGAAGCAGCAGGCAGTTATTGGGCAGGCTAAAATAACTCTGAAAGGAATGGGCAATGAAACATCGCACTTTCTCCATAATGCCAAGATAGTCACAAGAGACAGTTGCAAGCTCTTATGGAATTTTGTTTTCTGTGGATAAACCTTGAAAAACTTTGGTCCACCAGTAGATAATTTGGTACTTTCCTGCATTTCCACTCAAACTGTCAGATGCAAACAATCAGAGGCACTCATGGATAAAGAAAAGTCAGTAACTTCATTGTCTAGCACCTAAGTTACAAGAATCCCACCAGACTGCTTGCCTTCCCCTGGGAAAGACCAGACAAAGCTTCATGGATCTGGGGGGGGGAGGTCAAGCTTTTGCTGCTTGTGACTGTGCAAGGACTCCAAGCTAGGCCCTCGCTTGACTTCTCCTTCCAGCCTAGCTAGCAGTTTCCTAATACAAAGCAGGACTAGCTAATTGCAAAAATTGAAGGGACATATTCCTTAAGACTCCGGGCAATCATCATGAATTTTCCTGGTAAAATAAAAGTGGGGACGAGCCATCATTTAGAAGCAGAGCATAGCTTTGCTATAGACCAAGGCTAAATTTCAAGATCTCTAATAGCAAATGCACTATTTAGAGGAGTACAGCAACCCTCCTCTGACCAGCCACCTGTATAAAGGCAGCTTCCGATGAAGTCAACAATGAAATTCTGCTGGACCAGCTGAAGCACAAACTCCCAAGTCTGATCAGGATTCTTAACCTGTATGTAAACCACCCATGTCCTCTTTTATTCTTCCTGACAGTTATTCTAATGACCTGCCAAGCTAAGTGTCTCTTAAGACAGAAGGGGAGCATTTTAAGCCATAAATATAGGGAGGCCTATCTTAACTGAAGCACAGTCAGCTTAATGACATTAAGGTCATTTCCCCAATGTTTTTTTCACTCTGGCTAAGACCCCAATAGTCATCCCACTTTGAAAATTGACACCCGGATGAGGAAGCTGTCCAAGGATCAATGCAGGAGCAGAAAGAGAAAGAGAGGTGTCTGGCTTATCGGTCCTGATCCAGGGATGGCAGCACGTGTGAGCCAGCCTGCTGTTGAAAGATTCAGGTTATGTCACTGTCATGGGGATATGAAAGTTTCACACTTCTCTGGCAGACTTCAGGAAACCACCGAGACACGCAGAGAGGATATTAAAAATAGAAGTGGATCCCTGGTGTCTTTTCTGCTCTGATATCCTGATGCTTCTGCAGAGGAGGGGAGCTGGCCGTGTGGAATGCAATTAAATGCCTGCAGAAGAGACCAACCCGGACCCCCTTTCAGGCCTTAAAAGTCAGGAGAGGGTCTGAGACCAGTCCTTTTGGAAAGGTGGTTTTCCCCTGCCCCCATTTCCTCTCGGCCCCTCCCCGCTCCTCGCCCTCCTTTTCTCCCAGGCTTGCCTTGCCCCTTAGCTCAGCAGGGCGAAAAGAGAGAACAGGAATGCAATACCAACCGTGAACTGCCGGTTCTGTCGCCGCCGTTGTGTCTACGCACGGGAACAGAGTTTGGAGGAAGGGAAGAAACAGGAGGTACAGCATGCAAAAAAGGGAAATGGAAAAAAAATGGAACAGATCATATATGAGAGCAAGCTTTCCAAGAACATTGCGTGACAAGCAATCATAAAATGAAAGGTCAAAGCATTTGAAGTGAGTTGCACTGTTTTAAGAGTCATGCCTTGCGCTTTTAAGCCGGGAGCCTAGAGGACGGGGGGTGGGTTAGAAAGACCCCTGGGCTGCCTGGCTTCCAGAGGCTGGCAAGAGCGCTGCTTTCTGGCGGGGCACATGCAAAGCTGGAGAGACCCCTGCTCCCCCCAGGGAAGCCGAAAGCAGCTCCAGATTGAGACGGGGGGGTGTGTGGAGTCCTCTGAAGGCTTCGAACATTCAAACATTGCCTCTGCAGGTGGGGTCTCCCTCTGTGCTCGACTGCTGGAGGGTCCATGGCCTCCGTCCCCTTCCCCAGGTGCAGGAGCGACAGGAAAAGCCCACTGCTGCCTTCTTGCCACTGGAAATCCAAGGCTGTGGCGGGAGAGAAGCTTTGCCTCCAGCAAGCCATGCAGAGATGATGGAGGGAGACAGCAGAACGAGCAGGCGCCATCTTGGCAGAGGGAGAAGAGAGGGGTTCTTCGAAAACCACCCCCTCCGCTCTCCAACATTTTGCCATTTTCCCATCGCTGTGGTTAGCAAAATGGAGCAGGGCCAGAATTCTATGTTTGCTTGTTAAAAATGACAGGTCCATATGGACACCAACACATACATGCACCCTTCTCCCAGAGGGTGTGTGTGGCTGAGCAGAAGATGCTACTGAGAGCCAGGCGGAAGGGGTTCACATAATTGTGAATGTCTCCTGGGGTGTCAAGATCACAAGGAAGTCCTTCGCAGGGGGCTTTGTTCTCCAGGGACCAGGCCTCCCTGAAGCTAAAGGGGTCTTCATACCCACCCTCCTGATGGGCCTGTGGCTCTTTTGGGACTCGGCAGAGCAACCCCGAAGACTACCTGGAGTTTGCTCAACATCAGAGTTTTTGAAGAGTTACAGCTTATGCCGGAGGTCGCACTGGCTTGGCCCACCTTGATGGCCGGCCGGTCCATCCTTCTGCTCTCTAAACCCCAGTCCTAAAACATCACAGCAGGAACCGGAAACGGCACGGGCTGTTTCAGCAGCACCAAACCCCTTGGTGGGTCTTTGACAGGATCTCTGCTCTGTCGATGCTGCTCTGTCAGGTGACGTTGTCACCAGACACAATCCTGATTCCTTTGTGCAAATCCAAGGACCTGCTGAGGGACCCCCAGAGGCTTTCTCTAGTCAGCAGAGGCAATGTTGAAATGAAAAAAAGCATGTCTTTTTGCAAAGTGCTGCAATACACAACTGAGCCCACAAACGACCTCCCACTTCAGTAAGCAAGGGTGGGGCGGTGTTTCTCCACCGTTGGCTTTCTGGCTGTCTGGGCTCCTTTCGTCTGGCACCCAGGGCTGGACAAAATAAATAAATACCTGAACAACCCCAGTGGGGCAGGTGGGGCAGGACCAGGCAGCATCATACTTACAGATGGAACCTTCTAGTATGTTTTATATTGACAGAAAACCACCTCTTCTGCACAACTGAAAGAGGCATTTGGCCCAAAGTGACATGACTGCAATTCGCCTACAAATTGTCTGAGCCTGCCTTACGTCACAGGCAGGGCCTGAAGGGCTCCAGGAGCTGTTCTTACACAAGCAGCTCTAGCCAAGTCAGAGCATCAAAACTACCCCAGGGTAGTGCAAGCAACACAGAGAGCTTGAGGTTGGCCCTCTGTCACCACCAGGGCCTGGCCAAGAAGGCCTTCCTAGGAAGGGCACCCTGAGGCTTGTGTGCAGTGCAGAGTGGGGACAAGACGGGGTGGTGGTGGTGGCGGCAGGTGGCCCAGCTGAGTCAACCTGAGCTGGGCCTTCTGTTCTGCAATTTGGTGGCGTCTCCACAAGGAACCCTGCATGCCCTCCTGGGTGGCTGCAGGAGACGCAAGACTCTGCAGGAATCAGGACCCCTGTCTGTGCGCTGGAAAAAGAGGATCGGTTAAGGAGCATGGTTCCGTGCCCACAGTGCAGCTCGCTTTCCCCGTCCAGGGACAAAGCAGGAGACAAACAAACAAAAATGGAACACAAAAGTTTCAAGCGGTTAAGGCGAACAAATATTCCAAGTCAAACAACATTATCTTGGCTGCAGCTGGAATGGCAAAGTTGCAATTAGATGGGGGGGGGGATGAGCCACGGTGAGCAGCGGAGTTCGATAAAAGGGGTCCGGCCTCTCCGGGCAAGGCAGCCTCGTGGCTGCTCTCCTACGGCCTTCCTACTTCAATGCTGCCTTTGCCTGCCGAAAGAGGTAGAGGCTCTGGGGGGAGAAACCCATATAAGGCACTTTCCAGCAACGCAAAGGCAACACACCGGATCCCCACTCCCCCACCCCACTCCTTCTGAAGTGCAAAACCCAGCGCCCATTTCAGTCTTTGGTAACAGCACCAAGAAACAGATCAAGATCAATTCCAGAGTAACCTAAGGGGGGGAGGGGTTCTCCATCCAACTATGCAACACCAAAGTGGAAAATGCCAGAAGGGTCTGGACCGATCAGGCCTTTCCAATCACTTCTTTAACTATGTTGTGAAGAGGAAATCACTAACGAGCCCCCTCCCCACCATCATCCCCCCCCCCCCGAGACAGCTTGGCAATATTCATGGGAAACCGTGGAGCTGAACCTGCTCTGCGGCAGAGTTTCATCTATTCAGATGGCTTCTCTCCAACTTAAAATTGTTCACTGAATGTGACAGACTGAGAGTTTAAAAACTAATCCATAAAATTAGTCCACAGTCTCTCGTAGAATGGATTTTTTAAATGAAAATGAAAACCCAAGGACACATTTTTAATAAATGCCCTAAAAGTTTGCACAGGCAAAGCCTGGTATCGTGAAATTGTGTAGAGGGAGTCCAAGGCGGTCTTGAAAAACTGCCTGGCCTTCAGTTGCCCAGCCCCGTTTTCACCCGCCAGCCGGATCGGATCCCACGAAGCGCTCAGGCCGATGGGGATGGGGATGGGCAGACTCCAGATACCGAGCCAAGTTTCCTTCTCAAGATCTGGGAAGACCAGCGCGGCAGAACAAAATGACTTTTGACAAGAGGTAGCTTGGGCTTAGATATGAATGTTATTGAATATTTCACCATGTATTAAATTTTATTTATCCTACTGGATTTCTGATCCAAGACCGCAATATATAGTAGTTTTGTTCTGATCTGGGCAGCACCAGTTCTAGGCATCTCACTCAAGATGGAAAATCTGGAGCCCACCCAAGTTTCTTAGAAGCAGAACAGGATGGAACAAGTTTCTGGGATTGTAAAAGGGTGGTTGGAAACCTGCATTCATATTTTTCCTTTGTTCTGGATTACATTTCAGGGAAACTCGAGAATGGCTCAGCTCACACCAGAAGGTGAAAAGACAGAGCCATGCAAGAGATGGAGAGATGAAGAGGAAGAGGGATGGAGGCCGGCAGATCTGCAATCCAAGTCACAAGAGCACATTGAGAGAGTGGTCTGCTTGCACTACCCCGAGACCGGATGTTTTGTAAAAATAATCAGGATCCGTTTAGGAATTTTCTGTGGCATGGAAAATTATTATTATTATTATTTGAAGCATGGCACCGCACGGAGGACTGTGATTTAATGCTTCACCCTTCTCTGCTCTCCTCCCAGGCTTCCTACCCTAGCAAAATGGAAACCGTCTTGCATCAGCAAGAAAAGCACCTCCGAACCATTGCTTAATCAAAGGTCTCCTGCATAAGCAGCCGTGCAACGAAGCCTTGCTCAGCTCTTTGTTTTTCCCCCAAGTCTAAAGCGCTGTGGATGTCAGGGCAATTTGCATTTGCTGCGCTAAGCAGGGCTTCCCAAGGGAGTCCAGGTGGGTTCCCTTTTGCTGACAGAGCACTGGAGGTCCTTGAAGGTGGAGAGCCTTCTTAGATACACAGGAGCATCCAGGCATGCTGGAGAAGAACCACTCTTTCTGGGCAAATTCTTTTTGGGTCTCCTGGTCTTCGAGAGGCAGGTCAACTGGGAAGCAAAACAAGGAGAGCAATTGTGGTCAATTGTGGTGAGCATGGAATAACTGGGTTGGGGTGGTCTGTGTAGGTGCTGAAATGTGTGGTTTGGATGTGGGGTCCATATACAGAAGGTGAAGGAGGACCAAACTGGGGTTCTTCTGGACAGGAGAAGCTTGGGGGCAGCTTACTGTGGAGAAAAGATGAGGCTGAGGGGCTTCTTTGGAAAAGAACCTGGGAGCTGAGGGAGGAGGCAGAGAAGGGCTGGGAAGGTCCAGCGGCCACTGCAGGGGCTGTGCAGGGGGAGAAGGAAGGGCCTGTTCCAGTTTTACCTAATTTCTCCCATCAAATCCCTCCAAAACCAGAATGACTAATGATGAACTATGGCTGACCCAAACTTTTGGCAGCACTTCTGAGATGCAACATTTGGTTTCAGATTGGAAACAAAACCTGCACACATCTCAACACAAGAAGACGTCCTTCCTGGGTGCCAGCCTAGCTCAGCGGCAGAAACTTTGCCGCTTTGGGGGGTGGGGATGGGGGGGCTCCAACTCCTCCCTTTTAATGTGGTTGCAGAGAGGCTGGAAAGGTCAGGCTATCGCAGGGACCGCACTAAATTAACTTGACATTTTACCAGAGGCACAAGAAACCAAAGGAGAGAAAAAATAACTGGTGAGAACTGAGTCTTTTGCCTCAGTCTGAGAAATGGTGCTGGCGACTTCGCTCCATTGTGTACTACACAATAACAACACTCTCGGAGAAGAGAGAGGAAGTGATGGGCCTTATCCAAAGATCGGGGGGGGGGGACATTTGGTTATTTCCGAAGTCCTAAAAAAGGTCTCGCTTCCTGGGGAGAATCCAGGACATTTAAAGGGAGTCCTTCCCATACGACCGCAATTGGGACTGGGAACTTTCGCTGCGGTCGTTAAGTGACCCGTTCCCCGTGCTATGATCGCATTTTGCCACAGTCGTTAAACGAATCAGCATGGCTGTTTGCCCCTTTGGGATGATCACCTGGACAACCGGAAGCATGTGGCATTGGAGAGAAAGGGACTAACTCCCTAAGCTCCCTCGTGCAGAGCGGCCCACGTTGGGTGGCAGAGCCCGAGACAATCCGAAGGGGAGTTCCTGTTTGGGCCTTCAGTCAGTTGCTTCAAGGGGAGGGGGCTGCACAGGAAGGGAAGAGTGGCAGCCAAGGCTTTTAGGCAAGCGTTCATTCTTCCTAGTGAGTCCTGCATGAAATGGGGGTAATTATGCTAATTTCATTTGGAGAATGGTTTCCGTTATATAAACCTTTAGCACAGGAGAAGAATATAGACTCCTGGAGTTTTATGCCGGCACTTAATCACCGGTGTTTGCCTGTGGAAGCTTTTAAGGCTAATGGGTGGCTCCGAGTTCCACGGAAATTCATTTCTGTAGCCATTTGACAGGAGATAATACACCCAAGCAAATTTAAGCAGGCCACCCACTCCCTGGCAGAAGAAAGGAGGGGGTCAGCATTTTGTCCTCTAACCTTTCCTCTGTTTGAAGAGAGAGAGAGCCCAAGTTAAATCCCAGGCAGGCTATATCAAGGCTTCTGGATAAGATAAATACATACACAGCTTGTCTACTAAGACGCTGCAACGCTGCGAGATCCTATCCATCAAAAGAGGGGATTTGACAAAATTGCTGGAGTGGCAATCTCAGCTTAACTGAGCCTTGGTGCCAGATGGTGTGTTGCAACAAGAGTGCTTGGGGCTGGAAGAAGGAAGGAAGGAAGAAGAGGACAAATTCTTGAGATGGGAGCTGCAGGGACTGAAGACTAAGGGGCCTTCTGGGAAGGCTCACAGTGACACATTTTAAGAAAAGAGGAGTGGGTGGGTGAGTGCTTAAAAAGAAATCCCATGACCAATTACCAATAGAAGATAATATCTGTAGCTCAGAATAGGGATCTCCAACCTTGGTAATTTTAGGACTTGTGGACTTCAACTCCCAGAATTCCTCAGCCAGCATGGAATTCTGGGAGTTGAAACCCACAAGTCCTAAAGTTGTGAAGCTGGCTGAGGAATTCTGGGAGTTGAAGTCCACAAATTGTAAAGTTGCCAAGGTTGGAGAGCCCTGCTGCAGAGGACCAGCCCTGTCTTCTAGAAAAGCATCATGTCGTTCTTCCTGTGGGAGAAGGCATCTTCTAAAGAGGGAGACAGGTTTTCTGATCCAGGAATAGTGTTTTCCACCAAGGATAAATTTATGCAGAATCAATTAGCTTAAACTCACTGAATTAATTCTTTCTTCCCCCTTGATAGCCAAACCCCTGGGTGCACACACAAACATACAAAGCCAAGGGGAACCTCTAAGAGGAGAGTAGATTCCACAAAGATACGAAAGATGCCCAATTCACCCAACACAAAGGGCCTATTTGTCTCCCGTCTGTGGCTGCAGGTAACTCACAGCAGGAAGAAACAGAAAAACGAGGCAAAGGAAGACACACAACCTTCTACAAAGAAGATTAACGTCTGTCAGCAACAATCTGGCCACAAAATTAAGTGACATACCAGCTCAGGAGGAACTGAGCTTAAAAGATGAGAGGGAATGCGTATCTTTATCACACACTGAAAGTCAGAGGGGGAAACGTGATGAAACCAACATCTTGGCATCGAGGAGGGATTTTAGGTGAGGAGAAGAAAATTGAGCAGGTAAAAGAGGGAATATCTCTCATCTTGGAAATACAGGAAGGTGCCTTACAGCCCATTTGGAAAAGAGTATTTTTGCTGGGGTCTGTAAAACCTTCTACAATAGACCCTGAATCCCCCAAATGAGCCCGTCAGAGAACAGGCTGGGATTGAGGGCACCACAGCTGGAAGGATTCCTCAGATTCTGGGACAACCAGGTCAGGACTCTGCTCTGTGACTGTGGGACACCACAGGCTTCAGGGGAGGAGAGGGGCTGGCCAAAAGTAGGTTCAATGAAATACTAAGAAAAAAAAAGAGGCAGGAGGGGTCCAGTCCATGTTCTCCCCAACCCCACCTGGCCTAAGAGGCCGGAGGTGGTCTTGAGTCAAACTTCTTGCTCTGCTGAGGCTGGACTTCTTCTCTTAGAGAGCAGCTGAATCCTTCTCCATCAAGTTCAACTGTTCCTAACCCCATCATCCCTTTCTAAAGCCTCTGACTCTGAGATTAGCACCCCTAATTTACTAGCCAACTCCAACTCACATACATTATTTTCTAAAAACGTCAAGATTTTGCTTTCAGGAGTCAGTCCAAACACCTGACGGCCTCATGGATGATCAATGGGGATGAAAAGAGAGCCATCTCCTCCTGCGATTCAGGGAGCACAATTAAAAGCAGTGAGCCAGGCAGCCATCCAGGAAGGAAGAGCACCTTGAGCCGGCAGATATTCCCACACTTGCAATTGCTCCCCGTCATCAAATGAGCACCCCAAGACACCAAAAGGCACACAACATTAATTTAAATTAATGAAGCTCTTTTGCATGGTCAGATGTGAGCATGACGAGAGGAAGGCTGACTTTATACCCCTCCCCTCCCCGGCTTGCCCTTGATCTGCTCCTTGGAGAGGGTGAAGGTCACCTGGAAACAACATCACTAAACAACCCACAGAGTAGGCTAGACCCTATGACTATACAACTGTGGAAATAAATAAGCCGCACAAACAAGGACTCAACGAATCGGCTTTCTTAAGAGTCTGGAAGGAGAAAATTATAACGAGGCAAAATACTTGACGGTCAACATAAGAAAAAATGACGGTTAAGGCACACAGAGAGGAAAGGTTTTGTTATTTCAGTAGACCCAACATTTTTGAATGTTCTCAGAGAAAGCAGAGCATTTACGTTGTAGGACAGGGGTGAGAGCATCATGACAGACAGACAGGAGGCCAAAGACTGCCAGGTGAAGCAAGGTGGAAGCCACACGGGCTGCTTCTGAAGTGAGAAGAGCACAATCTCGCCTCCCGTGCTGGACGCGACCCACAAGTCCACTTCTGGCCATGAGCCCAAGAGGGAAGAAGAAGACAAACCCCTGCAAGAGAAGATCCCGGGGGGACGAGGGAGGTGGGATATGGCTACTCTCAGGTGCTGAGACACCTGCCCTGGAAAAGGCAGGTACATAGTGGCCAAAGGGTGGCTCAGAATGATGGGTGGGAGAGGTCAGGGTGGGGCTTTAAGGGTGGCAAAGCAGCCATCTTGGGTACAATGGGCTTGCAGCTGGAGAGGGTGAGGTAGTTGCACGAAAACCAAAAATCAAATTAATTGTCTTTATGAAGAGTGATGCCTGTGAACCAGAGCTGAAAAGGAGAATCGGTTCTCTGTATTTTAAAGAAAGAAAAGCAGAACTCAAGTTGAACCAAAGTCAGTCACATCCACTTGCAGACTACGGTACCCTAAAGATTTCAGCCCTGTTTGGCTCTCTTGAGGAGGGTGATTCAGAAGTGAAGAGGCCCTTGCAAGGCCTACAGCCCCAAACCCTTTCGAGTCACATTACCCAGGCAAGAAAAAACAAAATAAACCAGGAATAAACAAAGTTGGAAAGAAGCCTCTCCCTCTCTCTTTCACGGTCCCTCACCTCCACCCCCCCCTTCCCTTTAGGTAAAGCCCAACACATCTTTGGGCTTCGACCCGGAGGGCTTGTGAAGGTACTGTACCTGCGGCGATGGTGGTGGAGATGGTGGAGATGGTGGTGATGGTAGAAAGGGAGGTGGTGGGAGGGAGAGTTGTGGGAAGATCTAGATAAAAACACATAAACAAAGAAAAAGAAAACAGAAAAAAGCAAATTAAAAAGAAATGAGCAAAACACAAAAATGGTCAACAAATTAACAAAGAAGCCAAACGAAAGGATGATGGTTAACAGCTTGGCTCAGTCCTGCCATCACTGATGGTGGCCACAGGGCGATGCCCCTCTTGCTTGGGGTGGGTGAGATCCAACCGCAGTTAGCCTCCTCCTCCCCCCCTCCCCCCCAGGATAGGGAGCTGGGCGGGGGAGATGGAGAGGAGATGGAACAGAAAATTAGTTACAGATGCAAGGCCACACGGAATGGCACGGGGAGGACCCCCCTCCAGAACCCACCAGAGAAAACCCCACTGAGGTTGCATGTTCCCCACAGGAAGGAGAGCTATTTGCACCATTTATGAACCATATTAAATCCTTGTGTGTTTTGGTTTCTTCAGCTGGTGCTTTGACATCTGAAAAAGAGGGGCCAGGCATGTGTGTGTGTGGGGGGGGTGCGGGCAGAGAAACCCCCGCTGCGTTTAACAGACCAAATATCAACACCAAATAAGTCTGTGCCTCTTACTCTTTGCTTCCTCCAGAAGCTTCCCCCCTCCATCAAGCCATCCCAGCAGGATATAAAACTACTTCTAAGCCGGTAATAAATACAAAAGGGAACGAGAATGTCACGACTAAATATCAAGTTGGATGCATGGAAGATTTTAGTGAGATTTCTTTTAACATAAAGTCAATGTCTTTGGGACTTATAAATATTCATACCCAGCCCAGGATTCATGCATTTTTCTTCTGGTTAGTACATTTCATACTCCAATGGGTGAAATAAAGGGGGATTCTCCCCTTTTCCTTTCTGACCACAAAAGGGAAGGGGGTTGGCCTGTAATGCCAGCCGCAATCTCTCCTAAGAGCACCCAACGTTTGCAAAGAACTGGTGGCCTCTTGACTTGCTAGAGGGAGGACAGAAGGGAGGAGAGGGAGAGGAGATCCTGGGGGGAGAGAGAGGAAGCGCCACATATCGCTGCCCAAATGATCAAACTGAATGTGTTAAGCACAACACCCGACTTTGAACTTGGGAATGAATCGTCAGTAATGGAGCTTGAAATGGTTCAGAGGCTTTTGATTTCAAATTTTATCTTAAGCATGTCAAACTTCTCATCACTGACACATCTACTACTCTTTTATCTTCAAGAGAGCTCTTGGATTTTCTAATTAATAAATCCAAACTTGAATTAAGTGTTTCACCTTTATTGTGTGCTTGGCACAACTTCTTCAGGAGGGAGTAGATATGGCTGGGATGCGGGGCTGCTGAGGAAGCAACGCTCAGCTGCCCAACCCTCCAGAGACCTCTTCAGCAGATGCCAGGCAAGAGAGGCCTTTTGGGCACCAAATTAAAGGACTGGACAATCTGGGAAGGCAATGGCAGAGGAACAAATTGCTTTGTTCCTGGAGTCCAGTTTCAGAGAAGCTGCCTGGCTTGATCTGACTCCAGCAATCAGCCTCCAAAGCCTCTGGACGCCCAGCAGCGGGGCACAACACAGGTGGTCCTCTTGTGTTTGATCCTGGATCAATAAAGAGGCTCTCACTTTATCTATTTCTCCTACGTCCGTGAACCCAGCTCCCACACAAATGTGCCAAGATTCGTTTTAGAAGGTGGCCACATTCGTCCGCAGCAAGATAGTGGCGGTCTCCGAAGCCATGCTGCTGCTCCAGGTCACAGCTCCTTTCCACATAAACAGCATCCGGGTGGTTTGTGGTGGAGAATGAGTTTGGAGACTGCAGTGCTACTGATTTCACTGGGATAGGTGCACCAGGACCAGAGATTCTCTGTCTCCTCCGTGATGAAGAAGGCCACAATTTTCCAGAATGGAAAGGAGGCCAGGAAAATTTATCCCCTGTGTGTGAGTCCAGGGGATAAACACAACACCAGCTTGTTACCTCTCACAGGCAACTGGCAGCAGCATAAAAGGTCATAAGGACCTTCCTTGTTCAGTGAACAAGGTTCTCTACGGACTGTCGCTTGGGGCCATTTTGATCCATGCTTTGATACAGGAGATCATCAAGGAAATCATATCCTCTTGCAAGATTATCTGCAAAGGAGGATCCTGTAGGAAAGGGTGTTTTGAGAAACACCCTTTTCCTACTCAAAAAGAAGTGAAATATATTTATTCTATACAGCTGGTCAAGCACAGAGAAAGATGAAAGGGAAAAGGTACTGAGATGTCTTGAGGTCTGGGACCTCTGACTTCTCCATGTGAAAACAAATTTGGCCAGAAGCAGCCAACTTGGCCGGAAAGTCTAGAGAACACAACTTCCAGCCCATGTGTCAAGCACCAGTTTGGGGTAGCTGACCTGACCTGTCACTGTTTGGAGAGATCAGGGATACTGATCACATTCAGATATGCCAGGCCTGTCAACTTCTGCCCAGCTGACCCTCAACCAGGAAGGGTTCTGCTAAAAAGAGAAGATTTGGGTTTGGAGTCCAAGCTTGACTTCTAGTGAACGGGAGACCAGTGCTAGTCTAGCATGTTTTAGATGCAAGAGAGCAGACCAGGAGACTCTTCTAGAAATTTAAGCTTGGCTTCATCTAGTTACCAATTCCTCTGGGATTCAACAACTGCTTGCCTCATTTTTACAGAGGAATCACAAGAAGGACAGCACCTGTTCAGCTCCCGTGAGATGCATCAACTTGGGCAGGAATAACAATTCCATTTGCCTGTTAAAAGAAGAGGGGGTCCAACTCTGTGATAAGAATACCCTCTTCCAATCTGTGCTTCTTCTTGCTCTTCTTAGCCCAACCAGTATCCACTCCTGAACACTGATTGTGGATCAGCCAGTGCCCTTTGTTTCATTGGAAAAGCTAGAGAACACCAGTTAGCTCAATCATACAGGAAGGAGAGATGTAAAAGTTCCTCAGAGAAACCAGAGGGCAGACTATGTCAAAATGCTGCCAGCTTTCCAAAACTTGGCACCACTAGCCAAGATGTCTACCTGTTCACACCTGCAATCAGGTAACTTCTCTCTATAAAGTGGTGTCTCTATGTTTCTCATCCATTTTCTTTAAGCACACACTTATTCTGATTACAGACAATATTTAATGACTGGTCCTATTTATTCTGGGAGGAAAAAGCTTTGCAATTGGTTGACTGATGGAAGCTTTCTACTTGACCCCTAAGAGGAACAACCTGGGACTCGGCCCTTGGTGCCTTGGCTTGAAGCACAGAAGAGGCTTCAGTGTGAATTAGTACAAAGATAAATACTTGAAGGGAGCACCGCTGGGGGGCCAGGGCAGGCGTGGGGAGGGAAGAGTTCAAAGGGGGGGGGGAGGAAGGATGCTTGTAATGCCTCCACTCAATTACCTAAGCTTTCACATTTCCTGCTGAGCTGGCTCTGTCAACTAAATCCCTGAGATTCCATAGTGATATTTCACTGAACGGGACTTCCGACAACAGCCGCTGCCATTCGGGGATGTCGTGGCTGCTTTCATTTTGGAGCTTCGGAGTCCATCTGCCCTCTCGGCTGGTTGCCGTGGCTTTCAACCCACCAAACTCTCAACAGGGTTGAACCCATTTGCAAGCAGATCCCTGGTTCTGTTCAGGGGATGAGTTTATTGCTGCTGATGATGCCCAACTTGAAGGCCTGGTCCAAGGAAAGGAAGTAGTCTAGCAGCACACAACAGTTTGTCGTGCAGTTTTCAGAGTTTTTGGTTATGATAGATTGCTGGAACGGTGCTTTGTTCCCCTAGATCAGGGGTAGGCAACCTTGGAGGAATTCTGGGAGTTAAAGTCCACGAGTCATAAAAGAGCCAAGGTTGCCTACCCCTGCCCTAGATTATGCACCAGTGGCATTCTCAGCTGATGATCTGAGGAGCCCTGGTTAAAACACTAAAACAAAAATCCCCCGTTTTTCTTCACAGTTCACACAGCTCAAATAAAATATGAGTGGGGACGTGGCTGAACTCGTCCAGCCAAAGCATTTTCCCTTCCTGGTTTGGGACTGCTCCTTCCGCGGACAAAATTGTAAGGGCAGGACTGGTCTACTCGGTGCCAGAAGAAGACAACGACCTCGGAGTCAGGAGGAGGAAGGAAGGAAGGAAGGAAGAAGCTAACCAGCTTCGTTCCAGTTACGCTTTCTTTACAGTACGCTCATGCTGGGCCTGGGTCCAAGGAGGGCAGCTGACCAGAGCAAAAGGGGGCTCATTTGCCGACACCACGCCCCCTCCCCAAAGACCTCGAGAGCAATTCTGCATTAAGGCATCTGGAAGAAAGGTGCGCTGGTCTCACGTACCGTATACATAAAGCGTGTAATCAGAAAAGGCCGTCCCCACTTGATTGGAAGCCTCACAACGGTATGTGCCGTTATCGCTTTTGTTTAGGCTGTCAATGTGGAGGTTTGACCCTGACACCAAAACGTGCTGGGGCATCTCATCGTCGACTCTTAACCACGTCACATCAACAGGCCTGAGAAGAAGACCCAAAGAAGAACATCGTGAAAGACCTTCCCGGGCCACGCGGCTCCCCCATCCCTGCAAGCATAAACTCCAGCCCCAATGAGTCTGTCTGAGAGAAGAAAGAAAGAAAGAAAGAAAGAAAGAAAGAAAGAAAGAAAGAAAGAAAGAAAGAAAGAAAGAAAGAAAGAAAGAAGGTCAAAACTGTTTCCGCACAAAGGAACCAGCTAATCATAAACAGAAAAGCACACTGGGGGGGGGGGAGGAGAGAGGTTGAAATGATTTCCAGTCCCTGATCTGTCCAAGCCAGAAGCTGAGCATTTTCTTTCAAGTCAGACATAACCCAACCACTACATAAATCAGTGGTAAATCTTATGGCTTTCTGAATTACTCTGGGCACCTGGAATGTAATTGCCAAGATAGCAATCTGTTTCTCTCTTATTCCTTCATAGGAAGAGTAAACATTAATGTTAAGCCACAATGTGTGATGGGTTCCACACAATGAATAAATTAGAATATATCACAGAGAACAGGAAAGACAACACTGCAAAATACGACACTCAAAAGCAAAACCCAGAAGCATGCAACCAAGCCAAGCCAACAGGAGGGGAAATTAAAAAAAGAAATAAATAAGAAAGAGAAACAAAGCCGAAAGACTTTACCTAGCGCAATGTGTCTCTTCTGTCCAGTGCACCTTTCCTTGCAAGACAGCTCCACTGAACAGAATCGCTGCGTGTCAGTTTTAGATTTGAATGCATGGTGGAACATAGTGGATTTACTGGTGTGTGTGTATGTGTAAGCGTGTGCGCACGAGACTTCTAGCTGAACTGGCCCAACCAGGAACGTATCGATTAGAGAGTGAGGTTTTTTAACCTTGGCACTTTAAAATGTGCAGACTTCAAGTCCACACATCTTAAAGCTGCAAAGGGTGAGAAACACTGGATTAGAGATATCTCTGTTCTGGTTAATTCATTTGAGAGACTGAAAAAGGAAGGCTCAGATGCAAAAGCTGTGAGTTGTAAAGAATTAATAGTAAGTAACACCCAGCCTACAAAGAACCCTTTCCTTGCTCAAAATATTTGTCGTTTCTTCTGCACTAATGCTCTGCAAAAAGATTTCATCACATTCCTGCTCAGAAATGGCTCTTAAGAACCTGGATATAAAAAGCTACTGAAAAACTGCTATAATGCTTCAATTTTTGCAACAGCTTATTAGCATCTTCCATTTAGGGATTTGGGGGCTTAGGGAAATGAAAACCTGACAAATATGAAGTACTTAGCATGGGTGAGAAGGGATCTTTCTCTCCTATAATTCCATGCCTACCATGTTCAACTAGGTGGCATATCCCAGTCTTTCTGTAGCCCAGCAGAGATCCAGGGTCTTCCGCTCACATCCTGTCTTTCTGGAGACACGCCGGCAGCTTCTCTACTCTACAATGACTGAAGGCCACCAGCTGCCTCAAGTGGGATGGTTGATGGCACCTGCTTCAACCACAGATGCCATCTTGGTACCTCCACTGCCTGATGGCCACAAAGACCAGTACGAGGAGCAGGATAGAGACGAGGCCGAGAGATGCGGGGGTTCAAGAAGGGACAACTGCCAGAGGGTGGCAAGCCAGAAGGGAGGTTTGGCCACACAGCAACTCAAGAGAGGTCCTGCTCTGTCACAGCAAGCCAACCCCCATGTCAGAGCCTCACTTACTCTGGTTTCCCTTTGACTTGGCACAGGAGTTCAAGCAGGTCTCCTTCCCTTGTGAGCGGCTGCGGAGGAGAATTCTGCAAAACTTGTACTTCAGGCTTATCTGCACATCAAAGACACAACACAGACAATGAAAAAGAGAGGAAAAAAAAATAAGAATGAATGAACGAATGAATGAATGAATCACCCCATTACAAAAAGACACCAAGCAAATGGCTCATTTGGTTAATTCTTTAAAAAGACAGGTCCTGCAGAAAAAAATTGTCAAGTGCTTACTGCCGCTTGCCCCTCTCGACTGGACCTTTTGATCTGCAAATTATCCTGGCATTTCCCCAAATTAAGTTGACTAATAAGCTCCAAACCTCACATGTTGATAAGAAACCTGCACGCCAAGGCAGAGGCTCCCCCTGGTTCTTGCAAAAAGAAATTTTGTTAAATTGAAGTTTATCTCTGAACTCATTCGAGCTAAAGGAAACTCATTTGCCTTCACGCTGTGGTGAAAAGGCAGATTTGCGGTGTTCAGAATTGATACCTTTTATCATGCATCATATTTTATGGGCCGGCAATCCTTTATGCGGTGGCAAATTAATAAGCTGGGCTCTTGTGGGAGCATTTGACGAGAAGGAGAAGGCTGAGCGACACTCCGGTTTCTGCAAGAGCCAAGGAAATTTTCAACTCCCCCAAAGCCGAAAGGGGATGAAAGCATTTTACACCCAGGGAGAGAATCTGGGAATCCTTTGGAAAGACCCTGTAGGAGAAGAGCAGGGACGGTTGCCCTAAACCAAAAACCACGGCACAGATGCAATACCCAACGTCACCAGGACACCTTCAGAGGAAGATCATCTCTTCCTTGCTATGGACATTTTAGGGGAGAGAGAAAGACTGGCCAAGCCAGGAGGAGGAGTCAAACAGGGAATTAGTCTGGAATCCTTGTGTAGGCACAAAAAGGTAATTGACTCCCCTTGAATGCCATTGAACCTTATCTAGTCTGGCCCAAATAAAAGCCACCACTCTGGGAAGATTTCTGTGTCATAGGCTTGAGCAATCACGTAGCTAATTGGACTCTTCACGTGTGGATCTACTTGTTCGCACTGGACACACTGAATCAGCACCTACTGTAATTTTAGGAATGGCCAATAATAAAGAAACATGTTAGATTCTGGTTATTTGTATTCCTTACGAATCCTGGGATACAAGCCAGGTTAGGAATAGACATGTACAGATTAAAAGACAAACACAAGACATTCACAATTAAATGCAAAACACTTTTAGCAACCACATTTTCTATCCTGGTGGTAGTGTCAATGAAGTTGGATCACTTTGCAAAATCTAAAAACGGAGAGTTGGAGCAGATCCTGGCCCGTAATTGGTCAGATAAGGAGTCTTCAACTCAATCCTCATAATGAGAGGACAATATTAACATCACAACTGAATTATAACGAAGTGTAAGGTTTCCTATTATCCTATAAGAAAATAGCTTAACAAGGTGTCTTAAGCATCACAGTTTGCAAATTCTATAGTATGACACACACAAGATTGAAAAAAAGCAAGCGAAGAGGAGAATGTGCTACACCTTAAAAGAGTCACAAATTTATTACCGCATCAACATCTCATGCCATAAAACTCATTTTCTCTGTAACAGACTCACATCGCCCCCCCCTCCCCTCTGTCAGTGGTTATAATTTGAAAATGCTATTATGGAGTTGACGGTATCAATTAAGATAGATAAGTAAAAGGTAACACAACATAATACAAAGCAGGCACGTAATGTACATGCACAAATACAATACAACCCACAGCTTTTCCAGAAGCAAGGAGGGGGCTGCTCTTTTGACACTGTTGGAGGGAAAGTGTTGGACTCCACTGAAGCAACCACCAAAGATTGTACAACCATCTCCAGGTCAGAATGAGAGAGTATCTGGACCTCTCATCGTAACATAACCCAAATCTGAAATTCTGAAATTCCCATCAGCCCCACTCCCCTCCCCCTTTCACCTGCACTTGCCCCCTTTTCACCTGGGACTCAAGAGTCTCTCACTGGTCCCCACTGCAAGTCACACAAAAAAAGTCTTGGAAGGCAGGGGAACCCAGCATTGGCTCTGAAATACTCAAGGATCCCCTCGTTCTGTTCAAGAAAAGCAGGCACTGATACACTTGGACTGAGAAAGAAAGTCAATTTTTAAGAAAACCCTAAAACTGGAGGAGGAGGAAAGCAAATTGGAGTGAGTGACTCTTTAGACATTTGTGGGAAAAAAATGAAGGGAATCAATTAAATAAATATCAGCTAGGACAGAGTTTCATGGATAAGAAAAGAAAACTGTGGGAGATCCACGCTGGTTTAATGAGCAATCAGCTCTCCCCCAAAAACAAGAAAGACTGACGAGGAAACCAGGGAGAAATCAGAAATGAAAGGCACTAGAAGGAGAGGAACAGGATCTTAAACCACACACGAAAAGCAGAAAGGCAACTAGCAAAGGAAAAATAAATAAATAAAACAGAGAGGCATGATAATTGTTGCACACTGAGTATCTAGAAAAAAGGATTTTAAATAGGAACAGGAAAAACTGGAAAAAGCTATTTTAGTAGACTTGCAAGGATGAAATAAGGGAAGAGGGGCTACTGTAGACGGAATTAATGGGAACAGTATAGTTTGGCAATGCTTACTAATGGAAAAAATGGGTCAAGATGCAATTAATAATGAAAAATGAAGAGCAAAAATACAGTTTAAATAGTAGTATTATTGTATTGTTGATTGACGTTGGGCTATCATTAACCAGTGGGCGTCTGTGGATAGCAGCAAGTATAAATCTAGTAAACCTAATAAATCAATGGTTTTGATTTTGACATTAAAACCACACACATTCTACATAATAGGAAGAACAGGAAGGGAAGCATCCAGAGGAAACATGAGACATCCTGTCCCTGAAAGGATTTTTTTTACAAAAGTGTGGGATCAATAGCAACAAAATCAAAGGTTTTTTCCCCCAAAGGGCATAGAACAGAGATAGTAAAGATTAAGCCATCCTCCTCATCCTCCTAGAATAACAGAATTATTAGCATGAAACAAAATCAGAAACTGAAGAATCTCCCAGCATGAAAGGAAGACCACTGAGGAACTCAGAGCTGTAAAAAAATGGGTTTGTGAAAAAGCACAATCAACAACACTGAAAGTGGAGGGTACGGCAAGCAAAACTGAGTATCAGCACAATCTTTTCATAAGACAAAATCAGTTTTAATGATGCATGTCACAGAATAAAAGAATTGCAGCGTTAGAAAAGATTTCAAGGATCCTCTGGTCCAATCTCTGCAACATGGATAAAAACCAAGTCAACCATCCGTGATGTCCAACCTCTTCTGAAAAGCCTCAAGGACGGAGAACCCAAAACCTCCACAGATAGACAGTTCAATTATTGCACAGATCTTATTGACAAAAATATTTTCATTATATTTAAATGAAATCTAGGTAGCTGTAATTTGCACTCATTATTCCTGGTCCTACTTTTGTAACAATGAAAAATAATTCCTCACTATCTTCCCTTTGGCATCCTCATGAGGACCTGCACTATGATGATACCCCTTAGACCCCTTTTCTCCAGAATGAACCTCTCAGTGCCTTCGGCCTTCCTCGTAGGCCACGTCCTCCGCTCCTTGATGCCCTGGTTGCATTTAGCCAGTCAGACATGGATCCATATTAGTGCTGTGCTATCTAAACCAGACTTTAGCAGCTTGTCAATGAGAATGTCATGTGGAAACTTTGCTGATATTGAGGTAGATTATCCCGCTGCCTTCCCCTTTTCCAATAAAGAAGCTCCCTTGTCAAAGAAGGAGACCAGATTTGTCTCACATGGCCTGCTTTTGACAAAGCCTTGCTGACTCTCAGCAATAACGGCATTATCTTCAAGATGCTTACAAATGGCCTGCTTTATTATTTGCTCTAACATCTTTCTAGGTATTGATGTTGAGTTCACTGGTTGATAATTACAGGATGCTCTTTCTTTCTTGGAGAGGCGATTGCACTGGCTCTTTCCCAGCTGTCTGGCACATCCCAATTCTCCAGGTTTCCTCAAAGTTAACAGACAAAGGTCCTAAGAGCTCCTCAGTATTCTAGGGTGTATTTCAACAGGGCTTGGAGAAATAAACACTGACCTACTCAAAAAGATCAAAGTCCAGCATGATCCCATGTCTTTGGATCTCTAGTAGTTTCTGATCAAATGCACACCACACTGTATCTTGCACTGGAACTGGGGTGCTCCATGGGGGGCTTTGCTCATGTGGGCTCTCTTGTAGTTGGGACATGGAGCAATAACTCCAATAACTACAAAATCTCTCCCCATCTACAAAATCAGCTTTCAACAATGTAGGACATTACATTCTGGAACCTCTGTCTCAACCCACAGCTGATCAACTGAACTCATTTGGGCTTTCAACTGGTTTTCAATGAATTAACCTATTTCTCTTGTAAAGGTCTGAGAACTAGAAAGCTGCTTTTCAGCAGGATGGAAATGACACACCTAAACACCTTCATCGGGAAACAGAACAATCCCAAATGAGATGCCCCCACAACTGGAAACATTTGGAGAAACATCCAAGGCGAAGTTCACTTTTATGAGCAGGCAACATGTTTTGTAACTCATACACTGTTAGCAAGTGACACCCCACACAGAAGATCAATACATATCGTCTGAAATCCGGAAGAAGACTGCATTTATGTCCCAGTGACCTCTGGAAATCCAGCAAACCTACCTTTCTGGGCTCCAAAGGCAGCTTGTTTGCATCTAGACACTGTGTCCAATATTTTCTTCTCTGCAACACTCAGAAGTTATGATACACAGTCACTTAGTAATGATAAACCAGGTTGAAGAAAACATTTGGCTGTTCCCGCTACTTGTGAAACTGAAGCTTGACTAATCCTTCCCTCCTATCTTGATAGCAGAAGCAGCTGAACTCCTAGGCCACAACACGTGTAAGGCATGGCTCTTCCAACCCTCATGGGTGGCAGCCCGAGCTGCAAATCATGGAAGAGATGAGGCAGGGAATGATGGGCTAGATCCAAACAGGGCAGGAGAACAAGCAGAGCAGCTGGACCTCAGCCAGACCAAATGG